TGACTGTATCTTTCGGTAATTCGAAGTACTTCACCACGTACTTATAAAACAATTCTGCAACAACATCTGCAGGGCAAGCATGAGGTGTAGGAATGAACACCGCATATTTGGAGAAACGATTGACCACTACCATGATCGAATATATGCCATCAACCTTTGACAGGTTGCATATAAAATCCATCGAGGCTAATTGCCACGGTCTGTCAAGAATAGGCAGTGACTGAAGCAAGCCTGCTGCCTTTTTCTTCTCAACGTTGTCAAGTTGGCAAACAAGATAAGTTTTGACATAAGCCTCATCGTCATCTTCCATCTTGGGCCAGTAGTAGGAGTGAGCCAACAATGCAAGCATCTTCTCTCTTCCGGGATGTCCAGCCCATTGGGAGTAATGTGTCTCACGTAGTAACTTCAGTCTTAGTTTCCCTTTGGTAGGAATATAGAGTCTGCCACCTTTAACATAGAGCAGACCGTCATCAATTCAATATTTGCACATCAGACCCTCTCCAACTTGCTGCTTCAATTTGTCATAAGCAACATCAGTTTGGGCATGCTCTTTGACTCTTGCAAGGAAGTTAGTCTGCATACTGGAAAGTGCAGTAACATAGTTCTAGGCCTCCTTCATACTCAATGCATCAACAAAATTGAACTCAGCAAAGAATTCTTGCCATCGGGCCTGCTTTAGGGTCAACTTCTTTTGAGACTAGAAATAAGTGTTCGCTATATTGTCTGTCACGACGATGAACTTCGTTCCTAGTAAGTAATGCCTCCCAATTTCAAGACAATGCACTACAACAGTCATTTCCTTCTTGCGTGATGAGTATCGCTACTTAGCATCTTTTAGTTTTCGGCTTTCAAAGGTAATATGATGTTCCTCTGAATAAGGACTCCTCCAATGGCACGATCAGACGCTTTCGTGTGCACTTCGATTGGTAGATTGAAGTCAACCAATCTCAACACGGGTCCAAAAGATACTGCAGGCTTTTGCTTCTCAAAAGCTTTTTGACAGGCACTATTCTAGTCTCACTTCTGGTCTTTCTTTAGCAAGTCAGTCAGGACATTACACTTCTTGGAATATTCCTCAATGAACTTGCGATAATAGTTGGCTAGGCTAAGGAACGACCGCAGTTCAGACACCTTGGTTGGTGCAGACCAATCAACAATTGCCTTCACCTTCCTCTCATCCATTCGGATCTGGCCTTTGCTAATCTAGTGTTTTAAGAACATCACTTATTGGTGACAGAATTTGCATTTTTCTTTCTTGACATACAACTGGTGCTTTCTAAGCCATGAGAACACTGCGCGTCACACAGGCAGTCTTAGGCTCATCTCTTTTTGCAATCCTAACTTGCCAATACTCAATTCTTAGATCCAGTTTCGTGTAGAAGGTTGCCTTGTACAGTCTGTCGAACAGATCAATAACATTTGGAATAGGGTATTGTTCTTGATCGTTACCTTGTTCAAGGCTTGATAGTCGATACACATACGTAGCAAACTATCTTGCTTCTTCTGGAACAGAACAACTGCATTCTTAATTCTGCCAGTTCCATTGGCGACATCTGGTAGAGGGCACGGGCTAAAGGCTTAGCACCAAGCTCTAACTCGATCTTGTGGTCAATTACTCGTTTGGGCGGAAGGCTTTTGGGGAGTTCTAGGGCATAACATCAGCAAATTCCCCAATACATTTGCCACTGCATCAAGTACTTCAACCAGCACGTCTGGTTTGATCTCCACCAAAGCTACGAGGTATGTCATTTCGCCCTTCCTCTGCCCAACTTTCAGTTGCATATTGGACAACATCTCCATCTTTCGTTTGTCTTCTTTCTTGCTTTGGTTTGCCATGATTGCAACACAAGGTATGGTGCTTTTTCATCCGTAATCAGCACTCTATTCAAGGTAGGGGGTCATTCCCTAGGACGACATCAAAGTCGTCCAATAGCACAACCATCAAGCTTACGCTGCCTTCCCACATACCAACTTTTAGGCATATTTCTGTCGTGCCATGCACCGGCATTACTTCAGAGTTTACCGCCTTGAGCTTGCTAGCATTTTCAGACAGTTGTAGGTCAAATTTACCCATCTCTTTTTGGGCAATGAAATTATGGGCGACTCCCGTATCCACTATGGCCAGAATTTCCTTACCATTCACCCAGGTCTGTACAAACATAAGGCTTTTGCGGGATTGTTGAACTTTGCCCATAGTAATTGCGTTTAGCAATTGTAGAGGGTTAACTCAGGTGGGACAGTTATCGTCATTATCATCCCCACTTGTAGCAACGAGGGCATTCAACTTCTCCCTCTTCGGGCAGTCTTTAATACAATGGGAGCCACCACAGATAAAATAGCCAAAATCAAAGACTTTCTTCTTCTGGTTGTTGTCTGGCTTGTTAGAGTCAACAACGTTTTTTTTTTCTTCCAATCTACCTTCTTTGCGTCTTTGGAAGTGCCAGCCTTATCTTTCCTACTGTCACCATTCTTTTTTTTCTTCTCAGAAGGGCCTTGACTGCAACCCATTTTGAAGTCAACAAAGTTGTCTGTAGTAGCGATGATAGTGGGTAGATCATGTACCCCCTGCCTCCATAACTCAGCCTATGCCCAACCTTGTAATCCGGACATGAAGTTGAAGAGTTTATCTTTCTCTGACATGTTCTTGATGTCTAACATCAAAGAATTGAACTCTTGCACGTAATTATGAACAGTTTCGGTGTGCTTTAACTTCTTGAGCGAATCCCTAGCAATTCAGGTCGTATTGCTAGGGAGGAATTGATCTTTCAATTCCTTTTTCAAGCTCTCCCATGTCTCGATCTTTGGACGCCCAGCAGATGCATCATCCTCATTCCGGGCCTGTCACCACAAGTTGGCATTCCTAGAAAGATATATACTAGTGATTGTAACTTTCTCTCCAGTAGACACATGGACATCTTTAAAGTACTGCTCCATGTCTGACAAGAAATTCTCCAAATTTTTGGCGCTTAAGTGCCTCCAAAGGCCTTTGGTTCTGGAACTTTGATTTTTGAAGACGTCTCACCCACTGCAGGTCGAGAATTTATGAATCTTTTCACCAGGGATATTTCGTCTTAAAGTTCCTTCAGATTGTTTTTGACAGTGTCTGTGAGGGACAAAAATGTCCTCCATTATCGTTGTAAGCTTCGCATCGGTGTTGGACACATAGCTATCAAAACTCATCTGTAAACCAGCAATTTGAATAACGTATTGTTCCATCTACACAGCCACATTGGTTGCAACATCACTTTTAGGGGCGCTTAGAAAATCTGAGACAAGACACACGTTCTCGCAATTCAGCAACGTTTCCACTGGCCATGGTCGCAAACTAAAGCTCTAATACCAGTTGTCACGGGGTCAAATTTCTCACCAAATTTCTACCTCGTGATGGCACTGAGATCTTACACTAAGTCTCAGCCAAGCATTCAAAACACTCACAGAAATGCACAAAGGGACAGAGTAGGGACAAGCAAGCTAACTCACACACAATACACAAGCTTTACAAGCCAATTGACTAAACCTTTCTTTCTCAGCAAAGTATAAGGAAACTCAGTCTTGGTTCTGCTTACAAAAATGTGCCCAACTTTCTTGGTTGCACTACAGACTCAGACATGCCTATTTATAATATTCAGGGTGGTGGTTAGAAGCCCAACCATCTAGGCAACTACATACAATTTAAATCTGTCCACAAAGCGTGCTAAGAATGGTTAACCACCTTCAGCCACTTCCTCCATTGTTGATCATGGCAGAGACAGTTGTAATTGTTGGCTGACCCAGCCAACAACTGGCTGCAACTTTCCTGCATGCTGTGTGCACATGACAGAGACTCTCTCATGTTGTGCACCTGCCAGCAACTGCACTGAACTGTCACCATCTGCAGGGCACATGCCAACGTTTTCACATGTTGTTTATATGCCTTCCTCATGAGCCCTCAACATCTGATTGTCTTGCATTCGTGTTTAGTTATGCCTAACCCATGGCTTAGTCCTCCAAGTTAGCATTGCCCCACAATTCAGGGCACCTGACTACCTTGTTTGCATGCTCTCTTGTGCTCACGTGCCCATGTGCATAGATTGCCTTCCTCAGCTATGCATGAGACTTCTGCCAATTTGGCTAAAGTGTGGGCGCCTTTAGGCGAGGCTGCCACATGCCAATGCCGCCAACGAGCCAAGGGGGTAACATTCGTACATTATGAGTACTTGGATCAAAATAGTGTTAAATCAATAGTAGTTAATCATGTTGCTTAGGAAAAAAAACAAACATATATGTTGCCACATATGCTCAAGTTGTTACAGACATGAAAGATTATAAGAAGAAGAAAGAGAAGATGAAGAACGACCAAATTTTTATGAGAATTCGATTTGACTGTTTCATGGCTAAAGTTTTCTGGTAGCTACGTTGATATTAGTGTATGTGGTTGTTATATATGCTTTATTAATTTTTAAAGAGTAGATAATGATTAGTTTCATTAATTTTTCAGGATCCTATAATAGCGAGAGCCTCGTGTACTGGATACGCCTTTTATATTTATAGCCTCGTGTAATAGCGAGAGACTATAGATATGTGATGAAAATGACTACCGTGGAAAAATTGAAATCAGTTTCTGTTGGTATTCAAGCGTAGAGGACAGAGGAAGTCTTGCCATGGATTCACTATGGAGGTTTTTGGGTTATGGAGTCTCATCAGAGGAACGAGAAATCTCAATCGCCAGTATGTCAAGATGATCACCTGGTCATCTAAGGGTCGAATCATCGTTTCATCAACCAGTCAAACCGGTGGTGCAGCAAAAGAAACCGAATTATGCACCAGTTTATTCGTTTCACACTCACAATTTCAGTCAATCAGTGGCGTCGAGATCAGTTTTTCAAACCTTTTTTTTCTCTTGCCAATACTGTGAATATGGTGTGAGCTAAATGATGTAAAGCTAGTTTGTGGGAGCTACATAAATTTCACTGTCAATCTAACTGGCCAAAGAAAAGCTTATCATGACCACTGTTATTTATCAGCAAAAAACTGATGCACAAAATAAAAATCTATCAAAAGATTATGAGGTTTGGTAATCCCACCGCCAGTGATCAGCAGGAGAGCAGCGTGGAAATAAGTTATGGAGCCAAAGATATATTTACATAAGCAACAGAACTAAAGTTAGATTTACCAGACTTTGATACTGCCAAAGCAGTGTGTAAATAAGTTTGAACTCGATTACCCTCGTTCAATTATATTCCGCTTTACTGCCTACCATGGTGAATCTTATCTGGTTTACTCAAGCCTCTTGGTTCACTCAAATGCCTTTCAGAACCAAGAATATGGAAAAGCGTGAAGCTAGCATCTACATAAGCATCATTTCATGTGTTCCAAATCAGCACAATAGCAATAACCCCAATCCCCAAAAGCACTGCCAAAAACTTGTGATGAGGTGTGTCCACTGAAAGCATTCTCTGTGGTTTGTAACCCTTGAAGATTAAATGGTGACTGGAGATATAGACAAAAACCCCACATGAAAGGGCCATAGAGATGGCATAGATCCAATCTGCCACGATGCCCTGTGTAGTTGCATCCATCACAATCCCTATGGCAACACCAATAGGACTAGAGATGGCGAAGACAAAAGCATATGCAACACACGACAAAAGGGGACGATCAGGGATCACTCGAAGAATTGCTATTCCCAAGGCAATGGCAGCAAACACCTTGTGTAGGCTAACAATCCAAAGGGCTCTCCATGCCCTTCTTTTCGTTTCCATGGTTCCTATTGCAATGCCTTCAAATATGGAATGGAAACAGAGCACTATAATCAACATAACACTGTCTCCAAAGGAAATAGCACTGAAGAACAATGGGTCCATATAGTCATGTATTCCACTATCAACAACCTGGTCAAGCATAAAATGAAGAAGCTTAATCAGATTAATTTCCATTGCTAGTTATATTTTTGTTCTAATGGTACTGCTCTGTTTAAATTCCTGTCGTTTTATTCAAAGAACGCCATCACATATTTACTTGTTTATTTGAGTTGAAAGAGTAAACAAAATATGTTTTGCGTCTCACTTGAATCTGTGATCGGGAGGTCCCAACACCACTGCTAGTTTTTCTCTGATGCAAACGCCCTGCAAATAAGAGAATATGCTTGATGAAACCATTCAACTGCTAAGCAAGAAAGTCATAGTTTGTATTCACTTGGCCTTCCGCGGTTCCACCACCAGTTATGGCTATTTTCAACAGGGAAATCCAAAACAAATCAAACAGAAAAAAACAGTTCCATAGTAAAACATGATTGCCTGCTTCCCAGTTTAGAAATTTTCGTCCCACAATCCATGTTTTAAAACATGTCAACTACCAGGGGCAATTTTGGTTTTGGGTTTTCTTAGGTGACGATGATCATATGGATCAAGAATTGAGTACTGGGATTGATAATTACTTTTGTTAATACAGTGAAAAAAAAAAAAGAAATTCCTTTAGGATTTTTAGGTCTTAGATTTCAGCAAAACTTTGTAACAGTTATCATCCTAAACTTTGGGTATGATTTAACTACTACGTGTTTGACTGATCTTGAGCTCTACCCGGTTGGTCAGTTGCATTGGTCAATTTTTCCTATCTTCCTTGCTAATATAACAATTTCGTATATAGATTGTTCGAAGATTCAGTGGTACTTCTGGAAAGTATAAAGTAACTACTTCCATAAAATTAGGCACACAAATATTTTAGTATTACAAAATTGATTAAATAAACCATAGTCTTCGGGGCAATCTGAATTTGAATCGTATTACAGCAGCAAACAATCATTCAAACCAAGATTCAGAAAACCTTAAATCATTTTCAAATATAATTTCTGAAAGCCCCACAACTATTCATAATTTCAAAAGCAATTCACTTCCCAAGCGGAAATTCAAATATAATTCGAGAATAATCCACAAAACTTTCCGTCAATTTCCAAAAGCTTAACCCACAACACATGAATTAGCATTCAACTAAAACCAATCCTGATAATTAATTATATAAAAAGCACATATTTATTTTATCTCCAAATTTTACCTTGAACTGCAGAACCACCACCGTATTCCGTACTCTCTCTCTTCCGATAAATATAGAGCATGATACAATCAGCTAACATAGCCAGCATATACCCAAAACAGGCCAACATGAAGGCGAAAGGATAGTTTTTCGAACTCAATTTCCCAAAAACTTCACCGGAATCGCTCAGAAAATCCATCAGAGCAGCACCCAAGAAAACCCCGCCGGCGAACTGCGTCCCCAGCAGAATGAAACCCTCGTTCCATTTCATCAAGTACGGTGAAACCCCAGCAAGAAACGAAACGATGAACACAATTACTAGACACCAGATCTTCACGAGAATTAGAGGCTTTGATCTCAAATCCAGCTGTGGTGGGTCGGTGGCGCTGCCGTGTACAATGGCGGAGAGAAGGAGGAGGAGGAGAGAGGGAAGCATTGGAGGTGGTGGTGATGAAAAGATGCATTTGAAAATGTGAGGTTTTGAAAAACTATGAAAATTTACTACGATGCTGAACAGTTCATGCACAGTGTTGATTTCAGAGGCTCTGAGGCTGCGTGTACACAAGCCGGATATGGAGTGGAGGTGCTTCCGTGTATTTTTGAGATTTAAATTTATTCCGTTACACTTTTATTTAATTTTAAATACTTATAAATTATTTATCAGATATAAATTAGAGATTCGTTTATAAATAATAAATAAATAAATAATAAGTAATCTACTATTAAATAAAATTATAAAAACAATTGTGCAAAAGAGAATTTCAACCCACTTCCACCACTTAGTGGTATCCCCACTTTAAGTCAATCTATGTAAAATAATGGACTCCCTCGATTAGTCAAATAAAAATCAGACATCCATTTTAAAAAAATAATAATGATTCTTTATTGTGATCTTGTCAAGGGACGATAATCCTAAGCCATGCACATGGACCACAAGCCTTCTTTGACACCGAGACCTCTTCCTTAGAGATAGGGGTGAGATTCGAATTTGGCTCAGAATTAGTTCCAACTAATTATAAGTGATTCAAATACCAACTTGTTAATGGAGTTAGCCAGCTAGGAGTTTTGTTCATGCTCAATTCCAGCTAGCTGATAATCACTGGTTCAATTTCTATATGTGCTTAGCTATAGAGTTTGAATTCTTGCTTAAGCTGGATTCGATTTGCTAGATCATGCGATTAGATTTTGTTCGACTCAATTCGTTTTTTGTATTTCAAGTTAATGAATAAAAGTAAAATCTACTCATTTAACTTCAAAAAAATAATTAAAAAAAAAACCTACTAATGTAATGACTCATGAGAATTCAGTTCCAAATTTTCTTCTCATCACCGAAATCGAACCAAACAAATAATATTACTTACCAAAAAAAAAAAATTGCTACATTCATTCTAGGGCCCATAAATGTTCTACAAACCAAGCTGATTTTGTTTTGAACTGGATGTACATGGAGAGGGAGGGGTAACTAAGTTCGAACCCACAATCACCGGGTCTAACGGAGGGGTGGTGGCCATTAGATCAACTATTCAAATTTTTACTTTATAATCGAACATTCAAGACTTGAGACATCTAAGTTACTGCTAATGTTTATTGAAAAATATCTAACAAAAATTCGAACAATTCAATTATATTTGAGTTATATTAAATTACCCTCAAATTTTAACTTGGTTTTTATTAATATATCAGATCATATAAATGAATAATCAGTATATCAACATCCTAATCTTGATATAAAGAATATAAAAATCATGAAAAGTGTGACAAATAAAAATATGTGGTTTGGACATTGGCTGGGCGGCTACGTTGTTTTCCTCTATCCACTAGATGGGCACTGGCCCAATATGTCCCAAATGATGTGTCACTTCCCATAATGATGCTCCTACCATTGGAGAAAATATTCGGGAGAAGGGGATATTATATCAGCATTACACAGTCAAATATATGTTATATTTTATTTTTGTGGTATTTAACAATATTATAAGCGGTCCAATTAATCTATTTAACAAAAAAAATTAATAATTCTATAATATAATTAGATGTGTAAGTCAAAGAGATAGTTAAATAAATAACATATTAGGTACTCAAAAATTTATAAAATAAATTAATAATTAAATTTAACAATAATTAAAATATAAATTAATTTATTTGACAGTTAATTTATTATTTAATTTAATTACACATATAATTCATATTTCTTTTATAAAAAATATTATTTAAATTTATTTACTTGTAGTACACAACGTGAATGGGTACTCGGTAGTATAACAAAGTCATGCATTTTTCGACTGTTCAGGTGAGAAGCCACTTTAGGACCGGACGATAATTAGGGCTGTTAAAATTTGACACGACACGATTAATCGATACGAATTAAGTAGATTTGAGTGAGAGCTTAACGAGTTTGGGTGATAAATGGGTTGACACACCAAATACGTTTAATAAACGGGTTGTGTTCGGGTAAGACCTATCAATCGTTTATCACACGTTTATTTATTTAAATAAAATTAATATAATAATAAATTTATAATTATTTTAAAAAATTAACAATAAAAAAAATAAAGAAATCAATAAAAAAAAAAGAAGCAAATTAGTAATTCAAAGACAAAAGAGAGGAGATGAGGAACATTTCAAAGACAAAGACAAGTCTTATTTGTCTCACATTAGAAAATAAGGGGAGATGGGGAGGGTTGAGTTGCCTATAAAAAACAATGACGTCTTACCTTTTTTTTTTAAAGTCTTCAAGTCTTATTTGTCCCACATTGAAAAATGAGGGGAGATGGAGAGGGTTGAGTTGCTTATAAAAAATAATTGTCTCTTAATTTTTTTTTTTAGGTCTTCAAGTCTTATTTTTATGAGATTTGACTAAAAAATATTCTTTTTTGAGGTAAGTGCAATTGACAATAAAAAAAATAGAGTATTAAAATTGTTAATATAATTGTTTTTAAAATTAAACAGGTTAAACGAATCATGTCGTGTTACCTGTTTATTAAACGGGTCGTGTTCGTGTTGAGATTTTTTACTCATTTATTAAACTTGTCGTGTACGGATTTATATATTTTTCATTCGTCACCCATTTAACCCGATACGTAACTGTTTAACCCGACACGTTTGACAGTCCTAGCGACAATTACTCCCCCCAATTTTAAATCTGCTTTATTTATGCTATATTGTTTTACCATAATTTTATTTAATTTATTAAATTTGCCCCTCTAAATTTTTAGAAAATTGTATATTTAGTTCCATTTTTTATTCAAATTTTATTTCGGTTAAATAAAAATTAGTTTGGCAATTTCATATATTAATTTAGTCTTAAATTTTAATATATTTTTTCGTGTTTGAACTTAAAATTTTTTTTCTGACCAAAAAAAAAAAAAAACTTAAAATTTTTGTTGTATTTGTTGGTGAATTTCTTCTAATTACATTTTGTACCTCCTTAGACAAATTCTTGGCTCCGTCCCTATTCCTTTTGTTATGGTTGTTATACGCCTTTAAAACCTCCACACACGATCTTACGTGAAAATATTTGGGTTTTAAATTGAATATTTTATGATTTAGAGCTCAAAAATCTTCTTAATTCCACTTCGTCAAATATTAAAACTGCAGGCCACAGCTTGGAAATGTACCGATGTTGATATGTGGTGTTCTTGATCAGGATCGAGACCACCACCATTATTATTGATGAAGAAAAGTCTGGCTACCAATCATTTAAAGTTTCGGATTTATATATTCTCCATTACAACTTCATTCAATCAGATAGATCATCCACAGTTATAAGCGGATTCAAGATTTCTTATTAGGGAGCACAAAATATATAGTAGAAATGTGAAATAAGATGGAAGTCGTAAATATCGTCATCATTAGTATCGAATTTGGATAGAGTTATAATTTTTAAAACGTCAGCCTACTTTTGCTTTTTTTTTTAAATCGAAACGATAGAAATTTTATTGAGAAGCTAAATCTAAGAGAAGAGATTGTATCAAAAAATTTGGTGTCATCTCTTTTCAAACATCAATATCTTCATCTAATATGGCCTTTTGAGCCAATTGGTGAGCTACACGGTTTCTTGATCATCTAACAGTAGACAAAGAATAAAAAATAAACAGGCAAAGAAACTGCTACACATCTACAATAATAGCGTTAATAGGAGAAAAATCTGCAAAATTATCGTCAATCCTCTTCATGATTGCAGAAGAATCCCCTTCCAACACAATCTCATCACACCCAATTTACCTAGCAAAAAACATAGCTTCCCCTGTAGCCGTAATCTCTGCAGTTTACGCTTCTCCCAAACCAATTAATTTCTTAGACATCTTAGCGATAAATGACCAAGTTTCATCGCGAATAACCACCCCTACCCTAATAGCATCCTTTATGTCAAACACTGACCTATCAAAGTTAATCTTAAAGGATCCAGATTTAGGAGGAACCCAACATTCTGGTGCACCTTTCTAGACAACACCTTGACCAGAATCCAAAGCTTGATCATACTGCGAAATAAACTCCATTGCCATATAACAAAACACCACTAGGTCATTTCGCCTCTGCTGGAAGAGAACCTCTTTCTTGTTACGCCAAATATACCAACACAACACCAAGATAATTGCACCAAGTTTTAGCTTAAGCTGCAAAATAATTTCCCAAAACCAATTGACAATGTTCCCAGCAACTCAATGTATTAAATGACAAAGAGGACTCACATTCCACACCTGTCTCGCCCATGAGCATTCTTTAATGATATTTATCATAGTTTCAACAACCTCTCCACATACACAACATACCCTATTCGGTCTAATTTTTCTATGCCACAAATTTTTGTTGGAGGAAGAACATTTAAGATCATCCTGCATGCAAAAAGTTTTTATTTTACTGGGAACATTTTGATTCCAAAAAGCACCCCAATTACCCCCTGAATTTGATGACGAATCGGAACTTGTACAACCCGAATAGAGTAAATTCTTCTCATACGCTAAATAGTACGCACTTCGGACTGAAAATTTGTCATTAGCATTATAATGCCAAATTAACTTATCTTCCATAGGTAACACACCCAAAGGGATCCTTTTAATAACCTCTCCTTCATGCTCCAAAAAGACAACATCAATCAAAGGAGTTTTCCAAAAATTTGTAGCTGGATCAATAAGCTCACTAACCATAACATCTTCCTTCAAAAATTATTTGGGCTGACCACTCGGAAAGTAGATGGGGGTAGGAATCCATCTATCTTTCCATATATGAATTTTAGACCTATCACCAATCCTCCATCGCGACCCAGATTCAATGATCGTTCTTGATTCTAAAATACTCCTCCATATATATGAAGGTCTGTATCCAATCTTGACATTCATAAATGTAGTCGATAGAAAATACCTCATTTTTAGAACCTTGTGCAGAAGAGTATGCGTCTCACGGTGAATTATCCATGCCTGTTTTGCTAGCATTGCCATATTAAAAGTCTTTAAGTCTCTAAACCCCATCCCACCAATCTTTTTACCTTTACATAAAACACCATTTGAATTTATGATATTTAGCTTAAGTTTTACTATTTATAATGATGTTTTTTTCGTTGATTATATTAACATTAAATCTAATAAAATTCTATCTTACCATTATATCAAGTATCACATTTTGTCTGAATTAATTATACTATCTATTTAAAAAAAATTTGAACAACTTGAATGTAAAAATCTAATAAATAATTATGCATCTCAAAAGACAATAACATAAATAATATTTTATAATAATTCAAATCTTAAAATTTATTTTAAAAACTAATAAGACCTCATTTAAATTTTTTGTTTTAAGCTATATTTTGTGTGGGGCCACCTGTGATGATAACCCTACCATATGCATGAAAAGTCAAGCATGGTCCATTATTGAAAAGTAGGTCTTACACCCAAAAATGGCATGAGTGGTTTATTATCGATTAAAATTGAAAAAAAAAATGTATTGAATGAAATCTTGATCGTTATTTTCATCGCATTAAATTATACGGTAAAATTCAATGCTTTCCAAACCTAATCTGAAGGGACTTATGACAATGCCATTCAACTAATTCCCAGCTAATTCCATTTATGGTACTGAAAAATATGCTTCAGACGACATTATCCACTCATCTCGGATCAAAGTGACACCAAGGCTTATTTTAAAGGTCCTTGTGTGAACTGACTTGCAGTATATGCATTATAACAATTAATTTTTTTTCTTTTTTGTTTTTTTTGGGGGGGACTGGGGAGGGAAAAGGGGGGCTTGAACCCTTAACCTTAATAAGGTAAAATCTTCACAAGATAAGAAGTATCATTAGATCAAAAGTACGTTGGGTCCAATTAATTAGGACAGGGCTCCATCGAGGTATCAATCCGAATATTGATCAAAATGGTTGATTTTGATTTGAATGATCTATAATTATTTATTGAAAAAGCCATAAAGTTAAAATATAATAAAATAGAAAATGTTACTCGTGACATATTTGTATTCGATGAAATGTAGAGATATAATATCAAAAAGTGTTATTTTGATATCGAAAAAAAATATTATTCGGACCTAATTTGGAGACTTAATTTGAGTATCTATTTATTTTTATTTTTTGAACCATCTGAGTATCTAATTCAATGTAACCATTGAATTGAAAGTTGGTCCAATTTAATTTTAAAAATCATAACTAATTTCATGATTGAATTAATTAGGTCATTGATTAATTAAGCCCTTAAATTAGGACCCTACAACATTGCTTTTTTTTTTGTTTGTTTCAATGGTCAAAAGTGTCCCGACCAACTTATGCGCAAATTAAGTAATCTCATCTCTGATCCAATCGAAAGCATGTCATCCATAGCGAGACTAGGGTATTCGTGAAGGATAAATTCCTCATGACTTGACCTCAAGAACTTACCAAAATTCAAACTCAAAACTTCTAAATTTATAATAAATTTCTGTTATTACTTAAAATACCTTTACGCTATGTTTGGTATATGATTTTATGCCTTAAGAATGAAATAAGCATTCCGTGGGAATCCTATTCAAATGTTTGGTATGCAAGATTTAAAATCCATTCCCATTTCAAAGGAATACCTAATCCCATAAATTATGGGATAGGCATTTCCAAATCCCACATGGTATTCTTCATTCCCAATCCACACAGTAATGACCCAACCCATCTGGAAAAAAAACCTCGATCACTCACTGTTTTCCTCGCTATCGTCTCATGTGGTCTCGTCTCTCTTTTTCTGGATACTATTGATTATTTTTAAGACTTGTTTTTCATCAATTTATTTTTTAGTTTAATCTACATATTCGGATGAGATTCTTAGTTGTCTCGATAGTTTTCTTTTTGGGTTGGCACATGTACTCTACTAAATTCATAAAGAACTATAATTGTTCATTTGAAATGAATGACCAATTTTAAATAGTTTTTTATTTTGATTTCATTTTGTGAACCTATTTTTCAAGGAATTTATTGTCTAATTTTTTAAAATTTATAGGGGTTTAATTTTTTTCAATGGATTCTCATTTTTTTCTAATTATAAATGTTTTACACAACTTTTAAAGGCAATAGCAATCATAAAAAAATTGTTATTAATTATTTTTAGTCACTTTGGATATTTTGGTTAAATTTGATTCCATGTCAATGAAAAAATTATTTTATCCAAACATAAGAATGTAATGAATGTTCTATTTGAATACGTAATTCTAAATAATTGCTAAACATTAGAATAGTAATGCACATTCTGTTCAATTTCCAAGTTTATTTCGTTCCTAAATTCATTTCATTTTCAAATTCATTACATTTCTACTGAAAAGTATTATCACGGACCAACGACAGCGTTAGATTTATAGCATTGCTCTTTCGATAACCAAATGGACTCACGCAATTATATCAACCCTGTCTCTCCTATCCTATCAGCTTTAAATATGGAATATAACTTTTCAACCAACCCTCCTCCCGACAATAATATAAAAAGGTACCCACACAATGTAAAGTTGCTAAGGAACACTAGAGGTGCAAGCTTTACCAACAAACCACAGGTATATATATATATGCTCTAGTGTTGCTTGCTTAGTGCTTTTATCTCAACTACCACCATTGTTAGTTTATGTCGTAGATCCGATAATTGATGGGTCAAGCGGATTTATGTAAAATATATAGACCTATGGAGTTTTATGCGTCATCGACGTAGGTTTTAGGACTTAACCACGTTATAATTATGTTTTTTTTTATCTTTTATTTTCTCTTTTTAAAATATCTGTCTAAAACTTAATATTTTTTAGATAGTTTGGTTTATTTTGAAGGTTATAGAGAGAGAGAGAGAGTTCCAATGGAAGGACAAATGATCCCTATGAAGAAATCAGAACCCCTTTTTGTTCGGCCGGAGACGAAAACCACCTCTGACTCCAACGACGAGTTCTACTTCTTATCCAACCTTGATCAGAACGTCGCAGTTATAATCCAAACAGTGTACTGTTTCAAGGCGAATAATGACAACAAGAGCAGTACTGAGGGCATTGGTGATGTTATCAAACAAGCCTTAGCTAAAGTTTTAGTTCATTTTTACCCACTCACCGGCAGTTTAACGATAAGTTCCGATGGGAAATTTATTGTGAAGTGCACAAATCGAGGTGTGCCGTTCGTGGAGGCGATGGCGGAGTGTGATTTGGATGTGTTGGGTGACATTACGGTGCCCGATCCTTCGATGCTTGAGAAGCTTGTTTATACAGTTCCTGGTGCGACAAACTTGTTGGAAATGCCTCTGCTCACTGCACAGGTATACAAACCGACAATACATTCTTTACCAGCAGTCTGCAAATCAATTAAACTTTGACAACTATATAAATTTATTGGAAATCCTTAACATTAGTTTTTATATTTGTGTAATTCTCAAAATTTAATTGACTGCCTATAAACAATTAGTTTACAGACTGCGTGTAAAGAATATGTTCTCATTCAAAACCCTGTCCATCATATAGTTAGTATATACATTCATGCATGCATGTAAGGTGTTGTGATCGTGCAGCAATTATGGTGAATAATAAGGAATCAAACAATTAAGAAAGCAGGAGAAAAATAACACACAGAGATTTACGTGGTTCGGCAATGTGCCTACATCCACGAGAGCGAGCGGCTGTTCTATTCCTTATAGAAGTAGGGTTACATCTTAAGTATTTATATAACCCTAATATGGACGTATTTACAAAAATAAATAAGAGTTACATCTTAAGTTACATCTTAAGTCGCGGGCTCCGCTCCGCTACGTTACGCTTCGCTCCACTCCGCTACGCTCCGCCCGCTCCGGCATCTGCCTCCTTGCCATTATGCACATAGCAAAATATGAGCCACACATACTCTAACAATCTCCACCTTGGCAAATATTCACCCCTTAGAAGAAAAAAGAGGACATGTATTCGGGAACTCCACCAGGGACGCTGAGTTGAGGCATCTCCCATCTAGCAACTAGAGACATTAATCAAGTCCAAGCAGTGCTTGAACTTGTCTGTAGTAACAGGCTTTGTCAACATGTCTGCAGCATTCTCAGAAGTGTGAACTTTCTCAAGTAATAGTTCACCAGAAGAAACCAGTTCCCTGATCTTATGAAACCTCACATCTATATGTTTGGTCCTCGCATGATACACCTGGTTCTTTGCCAAATAAATGGCACTCTGACTGTCACAATGCAATTGAACTCCAACTTGCTGGGCACCCAGCTCCTTGACTAAACCTGTAAGCCACAAAGCCTCTTTGGCAGCCTCAGCTACTGCCATATACTCTGACTCAGTAGTAGATAGTGCAATTATAGGCTGTACCATGGACTTCCAACAAATAGGTCCTCCCACAAGAGTAAACACATAACCTGTGGTAGACCTCCTGTCATCCATGTCTCCTGCATAGTCTGCATCCACATATCCCATAACTGAAGGGTCACTCTGTTGTCTGCTAAACCTGATGCCATAGTCTGTAGTGCCCCTCAAGTATCTGAAAATCCACTTGACTGCATCCCAATGCTGTCGACCAGGATTTGAAAGAAACTTGCTAACCACGCTGACAGCTTGTGCCAAATCTGGTCTTGTACAAACCATAGCATACATCAAACACCCCACTGCACTAGCATATGGGACCTTTGACATGTCATGAACTTCATCATCTGTCTTCGGGCACTGAGCGGTAGACAATCTGAAATGATTCGCCAAAGGTGTACTTACTGATTTTGCATAACTCATGCTGAACCTGTCCAACACCTTCTCAACATAGCTATGCTGAGATAGCCATAATCTCCTGGAAGCTCTGTCCCTGCGAATCTCCATCCCAAGAATCTTCTTGGCCGCACCCAAATCCTTCATGTCAAATTCTCTACTCAACAAAGTCTTCAACTTGTTGACCTCACTCATACTCTTGGCAGCAATCAACATATCATCCACATAAAGTAACAGAAAAATAAATGAATCATCATCAAGCCTTTTTACATAGACACAACAATCATACTCACACCTTTTGTAGCCAATTCGGATCATGTAAGAGTCAAATCGTTTGTACCACTGCCTCGGAGACTGCTTCAGCCCATAAAGTGATTTCTTCAAATTACAGACCAAATGTTCCTCTCCAGGGAGACTGAACCCTTCTGGCTGTACCATGTAAATCCGTTCCTCCAAGTCGCCATGAAGGAAAGCTGTCTTTACATCCATCTGCTCCAACTGCATATCTGAATGTGCTACTAGTGCCAACACTGTCCTGATGGAAGTGTGTCTGACCACGGGGGAGAAGATCTCATCATAGTCAACCCCTTTTCTCTGTGAGTAACCCTTTGCTACTAGACGAGCCTTGAATTTTTCTCCCTCATTTTCTGATACTGCTTCTTTCTTCTTATACACCCATTTGCACCCTATTGCTCTCTTCCCCTCGGGAAGTTCCACCAACTCCCACGTCTGGTTCTTATGCAGAGACTCCATCTCCTCCACCATAGCACCCATCCATCTACTTTTCTCTTGGCTTTGTACTGCCTCCTGAAAAGTTGTAGGATCCCCGCTACTAGTAATAAGCGCATAAGAAACCAAATCTTCAAAACCATACCTGGTAGGTGGCTTGATATTGCGTTTGGGCCTGTCTGTGGCTATACTATGATGCTGTTGATCACCTGAGATAGAACGCTCTACATGCTGAGCATCCTCTTCTCTACCATGATTCTCTAGCTCCACCTGCACCACATGGTCATTAGTGCTACAGTTTTCTGGTACTTGTTTCTCTTCTTCCTGAGTACGCTGCAACATGGCTTTTTCATCAAAAACCACATCTCTACTGATCACCATCTTGTTTGCCTTCGGATCCCAGAGCTTGAAGCCTTTCACTCCTTTCTGATATCCCAGAAAGATACACTGTCTAGACTTCGCATCAAGCTTCGACCTCTCCTCACTAGAAACATGTACATAGGCTGGACATCCAAACACTCTCAAACCAGAGTAGTCTACCTCACTGCCTGTCCACACCTCCTCTGATACTTTCCCATCTAGTGCTGCCCTCGGTGATCTGTTAATCAAGAAACATGCCATATTCACTGCCTCTGCCCAGAAATTCTTTGCAAGCCCTGCATTCAACCTGAGACACCGAGCTTTCTCGGCTATCGTTCTGTTCATCCTTTCCGCTACACCATTTTGTTGTGGTGTCTTGCGGACTGTGAAGTGTCTCTTGATCCCATGCTGCTCACACAACTCCTGGAACTTTGAATCTGTGTACTCAGTACCATTATCTGACCTGAGGCATTTAATCTTCCTCCCTGTCTGGTTCTCTACTTCAGCTTTCCACAGCTTGAACTTGGCAAACGCTTCTGACTTGTGCCGCATGAAGTACACCCAGACCTTTCGTGAGTAATCATCAATGAAACTCACGAAATACATGTATCCTCCCCGTGATAGTACGCTAACTGGTCCCCAAACATCTGTATGGACATAGTCGAGAACCCCCTCTGTCTTGTGTGTGGCTGTCTTGAACTGCACCCTATTCTGTTTTCCAAGAACACAATATTTGCAAAAATTGAGCTTGCATGTCTTGACACCCTTCAATAGATTTTTCTTATGAAGCTCTATCATCCCACGCTCACTCATATGACCCAGCCGCATATGCCACAAGACTGTATTATCTGATTCAGACTCTACAGCAGCAACTCCACCTACAATTGTAGTACCCAGCAGTCTGTAAATGTTTCCTACTACTTTCTGTCCCTTCATCACTGTCAGCATGCCTTTACTTACTTTCATTACTCCACTTATAGATTTGTAACTATAACCATTACAATCCAAAGTGCCCAATGAAATCAAATTCTTCCTTAGATCCGGTACATGTCTAACATCACACAACGTTCTAACCATACCATCAAACATTTTAATTCTAATATTTCCTATTCCAACAACTTTGCAAGATGCATCATTACCCATCAGAACAGAACCAGAATTTACTGACCTGTAGGTGTCAAACCAATCTTTGTTGGGTGTCATGTGATAGGAACATGCTGAATCCATAATCCAAGAATCTGTTAAACGATCTGAACTAGATAAAACAGAAAGCATATCTCCGTCACCACTCTCTGAATCTTCTTCTTCCACTACGTTTGCAGACTTTGATGCACCCTCTTTGTTCTCTGAATCCCCTTTCTTTTTCTCTGGACAGTCCCGTTTAAAGTGCCCCTTTTTCCCACACTTGTAACACGAGACAGAGACGTCCTTCTTCTTCTTCCTCGACTTGGACCGGGCTTTATTGTTACCCGATCCATTCCGAGATTTGCTTCTTCCACGTTCCTGGTTACCTTTCACCACAAGCCCTTCACCTTGTGAAGCCTCATCACTGGCTTTCTTCCGCTGATGAAAACCTAACAGAGCACCTGTGACATCCTCCAATTCGAGGGTTTCTTTCCCCCACATCAGAGTCGTAACCAAATTCTCGTACGTAGGAGACGCCGGTAAGGAATTCAGCAACATCAGCGCCTTGTCTTCGTCTTCGAACTTCACATCAACTCGCTTCAGATCGCTGATGATCTGATTGAACACGTTGATGTGTTGGGTCAAATCCGAGCCCTCTGACATCTTAAGACCATATAGTTTCTGCTTAAGATAGAGCTTGTTCGTCAACGACTTGGACATATACCGACTTTCCAGTTTTAACCAAACTTCCGCCGGTGATTCCTCATCCATGACGTGATACATCACTTCATCAGCCAGACAAAGCCTAATAGTCGCCACAGCCTTCGCTTCCAATTCTTTCCAATCCATGTCGTCCATTCCTGCCGGTTGTTTTCCGTATAATGCCTTCACCATGCCCTGCTGCACTAACAGGTCCTTCACCCTCCTCTGCCATAATCCGAAATTCCCAGTTCCGTCGAACTTCATGATGTCGAATTTTGTAGAGGAAATCCCAGACATCGTAGTCTTGCTCTGATACCAATTGTTGTGATCGTGCAGCAATTATGGTGAATAATAAGGAATCAAACAATTAAGAAAGCAGGAGAAAAATAACACACAGAGATTTACGTGGTTCGGCAATGTGCCTACATCCACGAGAGCGAGCGGCTGTTCTATTCCTTATAGAAGTAGGGTTACATCTTAAGTATTTATATAACCCTAATATGGACGTATTTACAAAAATACCCCTGTACCGTACCGCGGGGGCGTTGCCCCCGCACCCCCTCCGGCATCTGCCTCCTTGCCATTATGCACATAGCAAAATATGAGCCACACATACTCTAACATAAGGAGTACTCACTAGGAAATCTAGATCCGCTCCTATACTTTGTTCTTTCATTTTTTTTTGTTGTTTGATATCGTTAACCATTAACGATTGTGGTTGTGGAACCCATTATATACAGTGAATCCCAATTAAATTTATCATAGTTAATATACCAAGAAGTGGAAGAAAAATTCACCATACTAACTATTTATAAAGTTTAGGATATTTTTAAGGGCAGGGTCGACCCAATGAAAATTGAGGCCTTAAGCGAAAATAATAAATTAGGTTCTCTAAAATTAATAATAAATATATAAGATATATGATTAAAATTTTATTAAAAATTATTGTTCTGGCTTTTATGTGATGCAAAATTAATAATTAAGTTTCTATATTTAAATTTTATTAATATATATGTTTTAGTTAATAATATAACTAGCCCACTGCAATTTCTTTAGAATATTGTTAAAAATAAAATGAAACAATAGTTGATAAATAGGGATTGCATATCATCTTTGATTCTTTGTTTGTATTTCAAATTCTATATAAAGTCTGAACTTCGCCAATAAGAAGAATAGTAAAATTGAACTAAATTATATTATTAAAAATATAAAATTAAAGTTTAATGTCATTGCAATCAAACGTAAGAATAAGATGATCTATATGTGTATATTTATTTATGGAGGGACAGAAAGATTTTTCCTTAATAAAGCACGTAATATGCGAGAGAGAGAGAGAGAGGGTTTTTTTGGTGGTGTAAGTGTGTGTTATTTTTTATTATATGAAATTATTTGTTGTTATTAATAAAAATAGAGAAGTGTTCTCTTTAATAAAGAGAGAAGTTTAGTCATCTTCTTTTCAATATTGACCTTGCTACTTATATGTTATTAATCCTGAATTTTATTGGGTCAAATAAAATTATTTGATAAAAATTACAAATAAAATTGAGATTTTTCTTTTTTTGAGAGTCCTAGACGAATGTTTAGGTGGTTTACCTTTCGAGCCGACTCTATTAAGAGGCCATTCTTTTCTTCAATGTGAAACATAGGACTACACGATGCTTTAGTTTGATTGATTTTCTAACGAAAATAAGGCTCACTATGTGACAAGTATTGATATCAAAGCCACATGGGTGGATGCCCTGGTGACCATACGTCAGTAGCTACCAACCATCTTTTGGACCAAGTACGTAACATCACCATCCAGCTATATATGTTCATTAACTTGATTTCCAGTCTCTTTCATTCATATCTTGTATATTATAAAGCTTTAATAACTCGAAATTTTAACCGAATTTCTTGTACCAATTAATACGTTGCATTCGTAATCATTAGATGATTAATAGAAATTTAATAAGAGATTTTAAAATTTTAATATTAGGTAATTGTTTGCTGTTATTTTATTTAATACAATAATTAGTGTCTTTTGAAAGAAGTTTTTTGTAGTCAAACCGTCACAAAAAATCGTGTTTTGAAAAGAATTTTTTTTTTATTGTAATGTTGTTATAAAAAAGTTATTTACTACCATAAATATTATTTGAAACGAGTTGTTGCCGTCATAAATACTTTTTCACACTCCACTTATTATGACGGTCAATGCCACCACAATGGCCGCCATAATAAGTGGGGTCTTAAAAAATCTTTACGGTGGCAACAACATCTCTCAAATAGTAATTGAGACAGAAAATAAATCTTTTGTGACAAAATTATTGCCACAAAAACACAATTTTTTGTGCCGGTGAATACAACTGTAATAAAAAATTTATATCAAAAGACTATAACTGTTGCAGTTGTTTTTACTGGGAATTTACAGGTGACAAGGTTCAAGTGTGGGGGTTTTGTGCTGGGAATGACAATAAACCATTGTTTGACCGATGGAATAACAGCAATGGGGTTCGTAAATTCCTGGGCTGAGACAGCAAGAGGAATATCACCTTCTACCCCACCATTTCTTGATAGATCAATCTTAACATCAAGACAACCTCCTAATATCAAATTCCCCCATGAAGAGTTCTTAGAGATAAAGGACATATCAAACATGGTTTCCCTCTACCAACAAGACCAAATGGTATTTAAATCCTTCGATTTTGATCCCGAAAAGCTTGCAAGATTGAAGAAGATAGCCATGGAAGATGGAGTGATTAAGAGCTGCACAAGCTTCACAGTACTCACAGCTTTAGTATGGCGTGCCAGAAGCAAAGTGTTGAAGATGAAACCTAACCAACAAACCAAGCTTTTATTTGCTGTTGATGGAAGATCAAAGCTAATTCCACCACTGCCAAAAGGGTACTTTGGCAATGGAATTGTGCTAACATGTTGTCTCTGCACTGCAGGAGAATTAATCGAAAAACCTCTATCTTTTGCAGTAGGATTAGTAAAAAATGCAATCAAAATGGTGACTGATGAGTTTATCCGATCGACAATCGATTATTTTGAAGTAACTAGAGCAAGGCCTTCCCTTACTGGCACTCTTTTGGTCACTTCATGGACTAGACTTGCTTTTAACACTGCAGATTTTGGGTGGGGAGAGCCAATTCAATCAGGTGCTGTGACCTTACCAGAGAAAGAAGTGGTTTTGTTTATATCTAGTGGGAAGGAGAAGAGAGGAACCACTTTGCTTCTAGGCTTGCCACTCACTGCCATGAAAGCCTTTCAAGAGCTTATGCAAGTTTAGTTTTGATTCACTGCCATTAATGGGACAAGCCCTAGATGCAGTATTGATTAACAATATATGTTTGTGAAGCTAAACTATGTGAAGAGGAGTGTAGTACTGAGATAACCAAAAACTAATTTTCATTTTTGTACCTTTTTTTTTTAGCAATAATACAAAATCCAAATAAAACCCAAAAAGTTGTGACTCAAATGCATATCATCCCTTAGATGAATATATCCCATCAATTTTTTCAGTGGAACCCACTTATTCCACACTTATCTAATGGATGATATGCATTTGAGTTTTAACTTTTGGGTTTCATTTGAGTTATATAACATTTTTTTTATACATGTAAAATTTTATTATTACATTGTTTCACTTATATATTAGTTTTTTGAAAAATGATTACAGTTGAATTAAACCAAAGTCTCAGCCAAAAATCACTTTTCAGTATATTAGGAAAAAGTTATTTTTTGTTATCGCCAGACTGGTAAAAGGAATGTTGATTACAAGTAAAGGGTAAGATTTCGAAACCGAAAGAGGTACGATACTAAACCTTACCATGTTTTTAGGTGAAAATGCAATTTCTTGAACGATGCTATGTAACCAAAATTTGAAATTCTAAATGATATTTTAAATCAATAAGGATCACTGAATCAATAGGTACTATTTAAAAAAGTTAATGAGACTACTTATCTAATAATATATTTTTATTTGAAATGCCAGTGGGGATTTGATAATGATGGAATCCAGAGGATGGGCCACCATCTAAGAGCCCAAATAAAGTTTAGGAAACCTTTGCCAGCTTAACGGCCTAAACAGGAGCACCCACGGTTAGTTTACATCAAGAGTGGAGTGGGCCAAACCTAAAGAGTAAAGCCCAACAATACCAGAAGACCTAAGGCCCGACCTAGTCCTGATTCAACCTAGTCAAAGGATGGTTTGAGATAAAGGAGCCTAGCCCAACGCTTTTTTCCGGAGCACTCCCATCGCACCATGTGTCCTGGGAACAAAGGATCACTTCTGACACCTATGACAATCACGTACTCACTAGGGGAGAGGGTGTTGGTGCGCATAATCATCCGGGGATCGTGGGAACAATGGCGCTAAATAATAGAAGTTGTTACAGGACAGAGGCGGAAGGACCCATAAAATCAACAAAAAGGGATAAAGAACAACAGGAAACCATAAAGGAGTCACTATATAAATAGGGCACTGTTATTGAACAAGAGATCATCTTCTTCCTTGAGCTCTCATAGTCAAAAAAAAAAAAAAGAAGGCCCTGAGCCAATATTTATTGTTGTAACCTCTTTAAATAAAATAAAATACAACCCCAAGGAGCACAAGCCTCGTGGACGTAGCCTTAGTCTCCTGGTTGAGGTGAACCACTTATGCAGTGTGTTCTTTTGATTCTCATAGATCAACCTCTAACTCAACTAAGTCACTAATATCCACAAAACATCATCGGTTGGACTAGGGCAATTATTTTCGAGCATCAAATTTAGGTTGCAAAAAAATTTTCTTTTTGAAGTTAAAGTTACAACAAGGGTAGCTGAAATGATAATATGAACGAACAGTAAACTTAGACGTTTTGAATTTTAATCTTGACAATTTCTTAGGACAAAATTATGAAACATTAATTCCACATAAATACCTGAACCCCGACGTGGATGACTTAACTTTGATCGGACCGAGGAGAAGATTAGTTGAGGTATGTATAAGCCGGCCCAAAACCTCTAACCATTTATATCAAAAAAATTAGGACTCATCTTAAAATATTACTTTAGGATTGATTTTTGCAATCCCATTTTGTTGGAAATTGCCCCCCAAAAAATTATAATTTCACCAAAAAAAACCTTATAATTGATTCAATATTCAAGAATAATATAATGTGCTTGCAGAGTGAAGCAGTTGGGTATATATATGGTTCATCATGAATGAGATGCCTTAATTTGCACTGAAGAGATATGGCGATGCCACAGAGAGGGTAAGGAGGGCAGTGCAATTTAATATGCACCTTCTTTTCATACCAAGATTGAATTAAACTTCTTAATTTTTTGAGAAGCATGTAGACCAGTCGACGGATTTGATCTAAATTTGACTCTAATTAGTTTGAATTCGATTTCAAAAGTCTGATTCGATAATTCAGCAAGTCTCATCTTTGTGGTTAATATTTCGAAAATTACTAAAAGAAAACATGAATCAATGCCATCCATATCATTAACAAAATATTAAGAAGAGTTGGAATGAGTAGCTCGTATCTATTAGACCCAAAAGTCAATGAGCTTGTATACGGATATATTGTGAATTTCTAATGCACATTTGAGAGAGAAATTTTACCAAGATTGACTGATTTGGTAGAAGAGTTTTAGTGGAATTTAGAGTATCAGATTTACTATTTCAAGCTTTTTTAGTTCGACATGATGCCTATAAATACTTTTTTACCACTTGTATTGTGATGTACTTTGACAATTAACTGTTCTCGTGGTCGTATTCTTTCAATGCACACAATCGAAGCTTTTGTAACAAAATCATCATTCTTTTTATTGCAAACCCGAGTTCACATATTTTTACATCTTGACGTGAATTTTATTATTTGGAGGCGGCAAAAATATTTTTGAGTTAAGATACTTCTGTCATTTGTATTTAATTGTGATTTTACCAAGTTAAGCGCCACTAACTTCTCAAAAAAGAATCGAGATGAACCACATAAATAATTTTGAAAAATAGAAGGCAATGTAGTAAATAGAAGGGAGGTATCGTCTCTTGATTCCTATTGATTTCACATCTATAGTACTTAGTCGAAAAATAAAATATTTATTTTAATGGGTTAATAGACCTTGGACAACGAATTTACTGAAAAAGAAAAAGAGCTACAACCACCATACCAATTTGCAAGATAAAAAAAAAAAAAAAAGAGGGGGGGGGGGGGGGGGGGGGAAGGGGAGGCAAAATCTCAAATTTAACATAATTATTAACATTATATGAAGAGGGACAAGTATATGATATCGGAAAGACAAAATTAGTATTTTACCATCATTTATTACATTGTGATTTTTTTCACTTTTGTGGTAATTATTTTTATCATTTCTGTAATAAAAATACTCATAAAAATGATAAAAATAAAATCACCCCAAAAAATTAATATTTGTTATAAAATTGTTGGAAAAACTAGTGACTTTCCCTCTATGTGCAAATCAATAGAGAATGACCAAAAAATCACAAACAAGCACAATAAGCAAACCAAAACAACAATAAGAAACACAAGAATTTTTAATGTGAAAACCCTTCAAGGCGAAAGGAAAAACCACAAGACCAAATTTGGTCCAATCTTTCCACTATTAACGAAAGTAATATTACAAGTCTTCTAGTCATAACTAGAGATGTCAAACATCAAGAGAAAAATATTTCATTGGCTCTCAAACATAAAAACATCATCCTTGTGTGGATTTCAATATAAAGTAACTAGAAAGATCTCACTCAAGTGGCTGAACTTCTGTCATTGAAAACCAATTATAAAAGAGTTTGATTGACAACCTGAATCAGTTGAAATTAGCTATGGAAGTGAGGAATATATCACTGAATTTTTAGATCGATCACAGTAGAAATGAGTCTTGGACAAGAGCAAGACATGGGCTGCTGTCTTCCACTTTTCTTTCACAAAAGAAGCTGTCCTCTCAATATTTTCTACAGATTTTTCCCACTTAAAGTGAAAAAATAGGTTAGACAACTTAGAAGACAAAAAGTCTTCAATTCTTGGCTTATGCTAAACTCTTCCAATGCATAGTTTGAACGCACACATATACATGTTTTTAATTTGAGTTGGGTCCCAATGAGAAGGCATAAGAAAGGACACCCAACAACAATGACCTATAAAAATTATAAAAACAGTCATTAATATAATAAAATTTAGAGGAACAATACCAAATTTTTTTTTTTTTGATACCCTATTCATAAGCCAGAGCGGGCAAGTGACCCCTCAGCCTTCAATGTGGGTCCGGCACTGATTGAAATTGTTCAGTTCATTATATTTTCTTGAATAAAATGGTAATTAATAGATATTCAATTGGAGGATTTTTTTTTTTCCCGTAATACAAAATAATTCTAACGACACTCTTTTGGACTCATGGTGGCAACACAGATTTTGGATATTCACAAGAAACACAAGTATCAATTAAATTTGAATTTTATTTAATCAAGTTTCAATATGAAAAGGAATCAGAGTATATGTTTAGAATCAGAACGTAAAAATTGTTAGCTTTCATCAACGGATGGTACCGACTAAAACGTGGCATCAGAACTTCAATAACTGGTGGGGTGGAGGGAACTGAAAGCATCAAATATTAAAGGCAGAAATGACTTTTAAATATGGCTGTAAGCTGTTGTTGTATGTGTGAGGGTTTAGTCTCTCTCTCTCCCTCTCCCTCTCCCTCTCCCTCTCTTTCTCTTACACACACACATCCCGTTAGAGGTTAGCAGCTTCGCCTAATGGTCACCGCTTCTCTTGTCAATCTCAAATTCGTGGGTTTGAACCTCGTCATTCCAGTGTTTAACCCAAAAAAATTTAAATTTTTTATACTTTACACTTTCAAAGATTTAAAGATTCTGTAATCTCAAAGATTAAATTTTTCATATTATATCCTTAATGTATCCGTGTGCTCTCCCATAATTTGGTTGACACTGGGTTTTGGGTGCCTGACATATGGTCTTTCGATGTCTGGATGCAAGAATAGCGTATGAGAATTTTTTTTTTTTTTTGTGGGCAAGTAAAAAAGGTCCAAGGGAGCAATCAGGATAAAACTCTTGTGTAGACGTGACCATAGTAGTCCGAACCCACAAGGAAAACTTATTGGTGGAACTTAAACGGCAGAAAAACGCAAGTGTTTTCAAAAACCGACTCTAGTCATAGCCTAATTTCTGCACCGCGGAACTACCAATGAGAGCAACGAAAGTTTCCGTGAGTCAAACTTTGCTTGTTAACCTCATAAGAGACAAGGGGGACTCCAAGATGGATAATGCAAAATAAGTTTTCCATTTATTCTATTAGCAAAGAAAAATTTTACGAAAAGGAGGTCTACTTTGCGGTGGTACTCTGCTGGTCCATTTGGTTTAATAGATATAAGGCTCGGTTACAACAGGATGTCTAATGCCCTTATCAGATTGTGAATTTTATTAACTCTTATCTGAACCAGTAGAATAGTTAGAA